TCCCACTGGTGTGCAAGGGGTTCTGAAACCAGCTCCCTGGGGAATCCTCTGGCTCAGGAGGGGCAGTCACAGTGGGTCAGTCACTGCTTTTTCGTGGCATTGCTGTTTTCAACCAGGAGCTGCCCAAGAAGTAAACCAAAGGTTCAGAATATTAGAAAGGCTCGAGCTGGAAAAGAAAGTAATGTCTATCTCCAAAATGAGGGTATGTGGTTTGATTTAACCAAATTAACCAGAGAAGAGGCTTTTAAGGGACTAATAGGTGGCTACAAGTCCTAGGAGGTAGGACCAGCAAGTGGGAAACTGCATTCCTGGGCAGGCTCTTTGGGTACTTCAATAACTTACATCAAACAGAGCAGAGTGTGCAGCCAGGAACCTACTGCAGTCACACAACCCAAAATACAGGCACCCACTGGCTTTCTCATCACAGAACCATCAAGGCTGGAAGACACCTTTAAGATCATGAAGTCCGACCATCCACTAGCACTACCCCTGTAACCCAGAAACCACTAACACATATCACCCAGCACCAGATCCAGACACCTCTTAAACACCTCCAGGAATGGTGACTCCACCTCCCTTAGCAACCTATTCCAGTGCCTGAACACCCTAACAGAAAAAAAAAAAAATTTCTAATAAAATTTTCTAATATCTAATCTGAATCTCCCCCATCTCAGCTGTTCTTCTAACAAGCATCATAAACACCAAGTGCCTTAATGGCACAATCCTATCCCAACAATAATAACTTAAAAGCAAAGTTTATAGTTCAAACAATACAAGTAAATATTTTGACATTTACTCGCTCGTTTGATTCTTGCCCAAATAGTTTCCTGCTCCCAGTACGCTGCGATTTCCTAGGGGTGGTTGGAAAAAAACCTATTTATAGTGGAGCTCTGAGAAAAGACAGCAAAATGTCACCTCAGAGGAGCAGCTTCAGCAGGGCAGAACAGTGCATGGCTGAGGAAAACCTCGGTGTGGAAAAAATGAGTGATGAAGCTCAAAGGGAGAAAATATGGACAAAAATGGGTATATTTATTGAGGGGCAACAGCAGGCTCAAGCCATCATTATTGTTGGGTTTACTTTGAAGACACTCACCTGGCAGGGACATGTGATCCTAATGCTACAGCAGCACTTCGGGGAGACAACTGTGAGTTTTTAATCACTTTTTCATTACTACCTCTCACCAGAAAGCAGATAGGAACCCTGTCTGGGCAGTGCTGTGGTCCTGTCGAGCTGCCCCTCCTGGAGAGCTTTGGGGTCCAACTCACACAACTATTAGTCACTGTATTGGTCACTCACCCTTGGCCACAGCTGCTGTGAGCCAGTGCTGATCGACTGTCCAGGCTGGGGAGAGCTGTGCTTACAGCCCCCAGAGCCCATTCCGGGCTGGTTCCCCAAGTCAGCACTTGTCAGGCACTGCACTTACTTACGTCTCTCACATTCCACGTAAAGCAGAGACAGCTGTGTCAGCAAAGCACCAGAGCTGGACACAGCAGCTCTGCACAGCTCTCATCCTGCTGCTGTGCCAACACACCATTACTGCTGTGCCGGAACGGGCAAGTGGAAAAGTGCTGAGAGCGTGAGGAAATCAGGCTCCACAATAGAGGTGGGTTTGTAACCCTTAAATACATAAAAACACACAGTGTGTGTGTGCTGCAGCCTACGTGCATCGACGTGTTTGTATAGAGTTTTTACCTACACAGCAGAAACTGCCCAGTGGACTCCTCTCGCTGAAGGCCTGGGAAGTGACAATTACAGTGAGTCTGAAAACTCAGCAATTCATGGGAAAAAAAATAAGGTTTATACCTTATCTTTGTCACATTACATCACTGGGTGGAGAGGAAGGCTCCTGGTACCACCAGCTGGAGTTCAAGGTGTTGCCTGCAAGTACTGACATTCCCAGCTGAACCTTCCAATTTCAGAGCTTTCCAGCCACCTTGGCTCCATCCCAGAGCAAGGGCTAACACAGCACCTCAGCTCCAACAGGCTTTCAAGTGATGTGCCATAAATCACAGGATTGTTTGGGTTGGAAGGGATCATCAAAGCTCATCTAGTTCCAACCCCCCTGCCATGGGCAGAGACACCTTCCACTAGCCCAGGTTGCTCCAAGCCCCATCCAGCCTGGCCTTGAACATTTCCAGGGATGAAGGATCCACAAACTCTCTGTGCCACTGCCCCATCACTCTCACAGGGAAGAATTTCTTCCCTATGTCCAATCTAAACCCACTCTCTTCCAGTTTCAAACCATTGCCTTTGTCCTGTCACTACATGCCCTGGCAAAAAGGGCATCTTTCTTTAAGCACCCTTTATATATTGAAAGATGCTCTAAGGTCTCCCTGGAGCCTTCTCTTCTCCAGAGTGACCCACTCCAGGTCTCAAGGCTTTCCTCACAGGAGAGGTGTTCCAGCCTCTGGGACACCCTCAGGTGCATATTCTCAGGTCCCAAGGACCCACATATGTTCAGGTTCCTCAGGTGGTCACAAGCCTGTCTCCTATGATGGGAGGGACTCCATTCCTCCAGTGCCTGACTTGAGCTTTAGGGTCTTGAGAGATGTGGGAAGAGAAGTTATCACTGAAAACTGAGGCACAAAACTTTTTGAGTACAATCCTGCAACACATTTTCTGTCAGTGAGGCAGCTCGATGAGCCTCACGCCAGTGAAGACACAACTCCAAATATCATGGCCTGACTTCAGTCCAAATTCTTCCCAGAGAACAGTAAGATAACAGGAATCTTCTACGCAAACAAGGACATGAAATAATTTCTCCTCCATCTTCATATGTTTTCCCAGACTTAACTATTTCTGTGCACACTCAGAGCATTGCTGCAGAAATGCTCTTTGCAGGAGAACCTTCAACAGCATCCTGTGAGAAATGCTCCTGGAGGAACATCCTCTCCACCATCACAGTGCCATGGCTGGATTTGGGATGATTTCCCCAGTGACCTGTCACAATGAAATAATTTCTCCTCCATCTTCATATGTTTTCCCAGACTTAACTATTTCTGTGCACACTCAGAGCATTGCTGCAGAAATGCTCTTTGCAGGAGAACCTTCAACAGCATCCTGTGAGAAATGCTCCTGGAGGAACATCCTCTCCACCATCACAGTGCCATGGCTGGATTTGGGATGATTTCCCCAGTGACCTGTCACAGGGGCAC